GAGTGCGGAGAAGGCAAAAAACATCGATCATAATATTAATTTTTTTTAGATTTTCCTAATCCCAGTTACTTTTATTTTTTTTTTTTTTTTTTTTAATCATTTTGTCAAATATAAGTTAATCCAAAGTCATATTTCTATCAAAAACAAATTTACTTATTTGGAGTACACTGATTAACTTTTAGTCTGTTCCCAAGCTGTTTAGTAAAGAGCCGTTCAGTCACCTTGTGCTACATTGGCTGGTGGCCTACCTTCTGGTGATTCTTAAATTTTTTTTGTCTCTCGGTGGAGGAGAGGGTGGAGAGGGAGGAAGGAGAGGAGGGGAGTAATGGCTTAGCGATTTTTCCGTTAAAAATGCATAGTGAGACCTAGTCATTTTGAGATATTCTTGGTTTATGTTGAGCATTTTCATCTTATCCAGAACTTTATCGAATTTTTGCAATTACTTTGAGAATTTACTACGATTGCTTATCATCATCTATTTATCATCTACTGTTTCCCAATCACTTATTCCCATTTACTTTATTGGCTTTTTACTTATCATCACTAATGTTATGTTTCCTACTCTGTTCAACACTGACCTTTGATTTACCCGGGAATTAAAGTTTTTTCTGCAAATTTTTTAAATCGTCTTTTTCGATCTGTAGGTGCCAGCATATCTACGACACGTGAAGAGACGCTTGGAGGAGGAAACGAATCGCGTCGACTACTATTTGCATCATACAACACGAAAAGCGCTACTCTCGCTTACCGAGAAATGCTTAATTGCAGATCACATGCAGTCGTTCGTTGAAAGAGGTTCAGTTTTCTACACAGTTTATGCAAAAATACATTTTTATTGGATCATGCGATTCAGAGAATAATATCTGATAAAAACAGGAGAACAGTGCTGCATGCCTCTGTATTACACCTACAGCTGTTGTTGCGCTAAGCCAGTGCAATATCAAAGGTGCAGGCCGGGAGCACTTCTGTTATTTATTAATCTGTCCACTTTTAAGGCAGCATACACCTTTCTTTTCTTG